TCGAATTTTTTTTAAATTTTCTATTTGATTATGTTAAAACATACAATAATAAAAATGTTATTATAATTTCAAGTAAATTTTTTAAACAATGTTTTAATATTCCAAAAATTCCAACCCCATGTCAGTAAACATAATAACAAAAAAATTAGAGGTTATTTTTGATTAACGTGCATTTAGCAAAATTTTAACGAAAACAATAATTGTTAATTATTAATATCTTGAAAACTATTGACTTTAGGTATAGTCTAAATCAAATTGTATATGCTATTAAAAATTCCAATCTACATCGTTTGCGTTTCTCCAGAAACACCCTGTATAGCATTATATTAAATATAAAAAATGCAAAATAACTAATTACAAAAAAAAAACTTAATAAAAAATATTTTATTTTAATTTCAAATCAAGTTTTTAAATAAAAATCTTATTACAAAATATCGAAATTTATCTATTTTTAACACAGTAGAGTGACTTAAGGCCTGAAAACCACAGCAGTCAATGGATGAATTTTTTTTTAAATTTAGAGCAAATGTCCAAAATTTGTTCGATTTTTACGCGAAACCATAATTAATTGTTAAGCTATTTTCTGGGGAATAAAAAAACAAAAAGTTTGAAAGAAAAAGTAAATATTTATTAAGGACAAATATTCCACAAGAAAACAATAGAAAACAATGTTAGAAAACCTCAAAACCAAAATACAAAATACCATTAAGGTTGGTTCACAATACGATTCGTTAAAAAAGTGTTAATTTTTAATTAGTACAAAATAATACTTGTTCGACAATATACTATTGTTCAAATCTTTAATTTTTGTTTTTGTTATTTTGGACGATATGAAATGGAAACTTTAAATTGCCACGATACGTAATGTAATGTAATGTAGATATGCACATACATGCACAAAATATTTTGTGTTGTGTAAAAGCTGGCGAAATTTCTATGCAAGTCTGTTTTGGCGCAGATTCATTAAATTTGATTATAATGCAAAATGAAATTTCGGTTGGAACATTCTCCACAAAGGTTATAAATAATAAGTGTGGCAAGTGTGCCTACTGTTGTGTAGAAGCACGACAAACAAGTTATTTGAAACCCTTAAAATTTATAATTGGCTTGAAACTTCCTTCAATTATTTATCGTAATTTAATTTTGTCTGAGGTCTGGAAATAGTTATTATAGCCACTCTCTAAAAATAAATTAGGTTTTATTATAATTTATTTAATAAGGTTGTCCTCTAAAAAAAGCTAAAATTTTAATGGAAAAACTATGGTTTTATAGATTAAGAGGAACACCTAATTAACTGATAAAATCTTATCTTGAAAAAAGAACACAAATAGTTCATTGGAAAGAGCACTTCTCCAGAACTGAAAGTTAAATGCGGCGTGCCTCAAGGCTCAATCCTTGGGCCCATCCTGTTCATAATATATTTAAATGACCTGGCCTGGCCTTCAACAAAAAAAGCAATAATTATATATATATATTTTTTTGGTATTAAGTTAATTTTTAGTAGAATGGGGTTTTTGGGAAGCCACCAGGTCTAGTAATAACATAACATAAGTGGTTCTGCATTAATGCAAGAATTTAAAAAAATCATAAATTTTGAATATTAGAGCTTCACGGAGTTTAGGATTTCGTATGTTTTTTATAAACATCCCTTTGTATATTTAAAATAAGTTATTGTATCTTTTAAAACCTTAATATTTTTTAAAAATACAATTGTACATACATAAAATATTTATAAAAAAAGAGATATTACACTTCAGGGTGGATAGGTTTTTAAACAGCAAATTAATGAACTTAAACTTTTGAATTATAAAACAGCAACACTCTAATCTGCATATAAATTCTAACTGACCTTCAGGAATCACATGCATCTATAATGTCGTAAACAGCGGTTTTTGCTTATTTAAAATGATTAAAGCGCCATCCGTTGCATAAAATTTAAAGCAAAAACTGATTCACGGAGGATAGAATCAATGTTTGTAACACCTACATAAGTGGTTATAAAAATTATTTCTTTTAATTTTTAATAATATTTTATATTTGATTCGATTGCTTTGGATGTGTTTAATTTACTTAGTGAACTGATATTTTTAGTATGCTTTTACCACCTCAGATATTTGAAAACATATGGGTTAACCTAGAAAGAGTAACAGTCACGGAGGATAGGTTTTAGACTTTTAAAACACTGTACAAAATAATTAATTGCGGTTAAAAATCTGGAACCTGAGCTGTAATATCTACTTAATTATGAAAGATCAAAACACAAAAAAAGTGTAGGTGTATATAGGTATACACCCTGTATGCAAGGAAACGTATTTCTTAGACGCCACGACGCGTCGTTGTAAAGTGCAAAGTTGTTTACCTTTGAATTTTTTTTTCAATTTTACAAAAGGTTTCTGATCAAAGCAAAACGAATTGTATGGAGAAACTCACATGTATTCATTAAAGTGCTTCGTTTGAAACTAACTTTTTTTTCATTCCCCATCTAATATCTTGTTCTACATATTCGAAATGCTTATGTACTATTTAATAAAATTGTCTTGAATATTTTTATTTTTATTTTATCCTGAATGTTTTGCAATGTCAATGGAAAACCCTGTACGAAAAATAGACAAAAAAATAATTAAATTAAAGCAATTTATTGAAATAGCAATTTTAATTATAGAATTTCAAGCAACACTGGGCACCCATTTTTGGCTTGACATGTTGCTGTGTTGAAGTCAATTTGAAAAGCTTTTTGATATTTTAATCGCATTGTTTTTCAAAACAATGCCTAAATTTTGCCAGGGGGAATTTCAGCGTTTCAGCTATTGTTACCAAATATTCAATAGTGCCAACTTTATTTCGGTATGTTACTGTCAACTGAAGTTTTTAGTTACCAAGCATTCAAAAACTCTGTAGCACAGTTAAATGATACTTAGTGTTTTAAATGTTGCACCCTGTATGTCTTAAATGATATACACTCACAGGCAAAATAATCGATCCACACAAATTTTCAATGAATTTCAATCGCAAATAACATTTTTATTTGATGTCGGATTTAAACAAATATTAAAGAATATTGTAGATACATTAATGGAGAATCGCTCACATTTTAAAAATTACTAAAAAATACACTTACGTTTATAATATACATGTTTAAACAAAAATATGTTTTTACCATAAGTTTAAGACACTCTGTAGAGTGGCAAAACCGTATATTGTTCTAAATTAAGTTTTAATTATCAAGTCACATCTATTTTTAACAGTTTTGTTTTTGGTTCACCTTGATATATTTATTTTTGTGAAAAATATGGTTTTTTTTTAAAAAACATTGCAATTTCCAATATTTTTCCTGTATGAAGAACTAAGGTTGCTATGGTCCATTCATAGCCTATGGAGGATGACAGTGACAGTTTTGTTGAATCATCCCATACTTGGACATGTCATATACAGCTTTCAAAAGCTATCAAATTGTTTTTTGTAAATTAATGTTTAAATTTTGAGGTGTCTTTTTACTTTTAAAAATGTCTCCGACTGATGTTGCCCTTTGTACTTTACTTCTTGTGACGTTTAAAACACTTGCCTCGTAATACTGTGACCGTCCATCCTGGATTAAATTAATGGTTCTGGCAACATCATTCGGAGACATATCCATTTTTTAAAGTAAGAAGACACCTCAAAATTTAAACATAAATTTGCAAAAAACAATTTGATAGCTTTTGAAAGCCGTGTATGACATGTCCAAGTATGGGATGATTCAACAAAACTGTCAATGTCATTCTCCATAGCCTATGGATGGATCATAGCAACCTTAGTTCTTCATACAGAAAAATATTGGAAATTGCAATGTTTTTTTTTTAAATCCATATTTTCCAGAAAAATTAATATATCGAGGTGAACCAAAACAAAACCGTTAAGAATATATGTGACTTGATAAATAAAACTTAGTTTAGAACAAAATACGGTTTTAACACTCTACAGAGTCTTAAACTTATGGTAAAAAAAATCTTTTTGTTTAAACCTGTATATTATAAACGTACGTCTATTTTTAAGTAATTTTTGAAATGTGAGCGATTGTCCATTAATTTATCTACAATATTTTTTAATATTCGTTTAAATCCGACATCAAATTAAAAAGTTATTTGCGATTGAAATTCATCGAGAATTTGTGTGGATCGATTATTTTGCCTGTGAGTGTACATTAGATCCTCTAAATAAAATGTATATTTATTGATTAAGTGAAAATTTCACCTGGCATAAACGTATATCCCGTTTAGACAGATATGCATGCAAAGCAAAGTGGCAGATACGAGCAAATATTTGAACAGGACTTTATCTAAAAAACTTTTCGAAAAGGTAGTCGCAACTTTCCATCTCCATTCATCATGCAGTTTTAAAATAAAAATTTATTTATGCCGCAATGCCTTAAAAGCATGATTTATCATAATAAACCTTTATTTTTTTGTTTCGAATTGGCAGATATATGTGTAACTGTATTATGGGTTCGACAGGGTATTATTTGAAGTAATATGGAACTGTAAATTAAACTTGAATAATACCTTTTAATTACGCCATCCTAAACCTAATATCCTCTTTACTACCCACAATCAACGACATTGTTATAAATACTGTCAAAACTGGGGCCAGTATGTATCAAAGTATGTCAAGCTAGTCTGCATTACTGTAAAAGAGTTAAAGAGTTAAAACGAAATGAAGATGAAGTTATTGAACTGCTTCCTATTGAGGGGGGCTCCTTTAGACACTTTGTTTAAAGTGTTTAGAAATGGAATTGAAAACGTGGATCTTCTAAAGTCCAGAAGCAATGGTCCTGTACCATGGATTGTTTTTGCGTTACCGGGCATTTTTAAAGAGTTCATCAAAAGTATTACGAATATGGGACAATTTTCTTCCGATATAGCAATTTCTTTGGAGTTGGTAGTCCTATTAGCTCAACCACAACCCAATTGGGCTTTGTTACTGAAGGTGTTAGGAATGAGGAATAGCAAAATTCTAAAGTTGAAATGAATACAGACGACGTACAAAAAATAATACCTAAAACTGAACCATGTGGTTCTTTTCTTTGTCCCAGCGATGGTATTTGCAAGAATGTAGATATATCAACTACCGTTTTAAACTCCTGTCATTACTACGATTTGGCTATGTCTGCTTCAAACGTTCTACTGAGCATTGGAAACAATATAGATTTTGTCGATATATTGCTAGCACCGGTCACCAAACAAGAATACTGGTCCAAGTGTTTTGAGAGAAGACACGTATGAATTTTATACATTACATTACATTAAATATATTAAAGTAACTCTTATAGGTATGGAATCAGATTCGTCCATCTTGGTATGAAGCCATTCTAAACCTCATATCTCCATTACTACCCACAATCAGCTACATTGTTATAAATGCTGTTAAAACTGGGGCCAGCATGTATCAAGCTATGTCTATTATATTAGCTTCCTTCAGTCAGTTTTTGGAGTGCACAAATCCTGCTCTGACAAAAATCGCCTTTTAAATACAGGATTTGCTTCCTGCTGAGACTGTACCTTTAAATCATTCAGCCATCATACAGATTTTGATTAGTGCTTTGTATTCTGCATTACTGTACAAATCTGAAGTTACAGTCAAAGAGTCAACCCCAAAGGAAGATGATAATACTGAAACAACAGCAAGTCAAAGACACTTTTTTCTTATGAGGAACAAAAATAATTTCTTCAAAATTTTTATTAAAAAAAATGCAATGAATGAATTAATGTAAAAAATGGAGCTCATACCTTTTTTGTATAATAAATTTAGGTTATGCTATTTACCCCTGGATTAACATTGAAGTCACCCCCTCCTATTGAGTTGCAAGATCCATGCGTAAGTCTGTTGTTGCCACGTTTTGCTTGTTGTGGCAACGGTTGCTATGCTGGTTGATTTAAAGTTTAGTCAATAACATTTTTATTCGTCTTACATTAATAACGGCATCTGTTTCATTTAATTATTCGAAATGGAGGTAATGGAAGATGGAAATTTAATGGACAAAGTACATATTTTAATACAAAGGGATATGGAATACTACACGGTAAGAATATTATGTTAATATTTAACACTTGTACTATGCTCCACACCTCAAAGTCCCACCACGTGACCACATACGGAACGCAGTCTTTTGAAAATTTGGCATTTAAGGATTTTCAGGTTATGTATCTGTCAAAGTATAGTCAATGAAAGAAATAATATTATTTTTAGGCGTTAAAAATGCATAAATCTTTATAACATTACTATAACAATGGATGGTTTAAGAATTTAAGAATATAAATACTGCATTTAATGAAATTCCAAAGTGTATGGTGCCAAATAAGTAATATTTTTGTGCATTTGGTCCAAATATCTGGTTTTCTCCATAAAATAATTTTAACTAAACAGCATTTATTTAAAAAAAAATCTAGCTTCTCTATTATGGAATAAGAATATCTGTATTAAAGGTAGGTTAATATATTATAACAAAAATATCATCTAATTTTGTAATTTTAAAGACTAAAATAAATAAGTATTTTGGATAATTTAAACGATGTGGCTCCCGTCCCGAGGCGGGACTTAAGTTCAGTCCCGATTGACGTCACACACTGTAAATCCGTTTTTATTCCCCGAGATTTTATAATTTGTGTCAAGCTCGATGGCTTAGATGGTAGGGCGGTCGCTTGGCATGCGAGAGGTACTATGCTCCACACTTCAAAGTCCCACCACGTGACCACGTACGGAACGCAGTCTTTTGAAAATTTGGCATTTAAGGCTTTTCAGGTTATGCATCTGTCAAAGTATAGTCAATGAAAGAAATAATATTTATACTGTTACCGTTTATGTTTAAGCGTTAAAAGTTTATAAATCTTTATAGTATCACAGTAACAATGGTTGGTTTAAGAGTTTAGTAGTATAAATACTGCATTTAATGAAATTCTAAAGTGTATGGTGCCAAATAAGTAAAATTTTTGTGCATTTGGTCTACATAATATGTTAATATATTATATCTGGTTTTATCCATAAAATAGTTTTAACTAAACGGCATTTATTAAAAAAATCTAGCTTCTCTATTATGGAATAAGAATATCTGTATCAAAGGTAGGTTAATATATTATAACAAAAAATATCATCTAATTTTAAAATTTTAAGGTTAGAAAAATCTATTTTGATCAAAATAAATAAGTATTTTGGATTATTTGGAAGAGTGTGTTAATATGGTCATATAAATATAGATATACTAAATAATTGTTGAATATGGTTCAAATTAAATTAAAGCTTTCATACTCCTAACAACAAAACTTGTGCATACCTCTCGGGATCCCTAATTTAAGTTAGATTATAAGGAAACAAACAATTTTTAGAGAAAAAAAATATTTAATACTCTGGATGTTAAATAAATAAATAAATAAATAAATAACGTGATTTTTGAAATTTTTAAAAGTTAATGATGACAAAACTTTATGTAGGTATACTTTAAGCTGGATAAGAACTACAAGTAAAAATATTAGATAGAGTATACTGTGGTTTTATTTAAATTTTAGAATTTATAAGGTTATTTATACCTAATGATTGTTCGATGTAGATAAAATGTTGTCGAAGCTTTTATAGGTACTTGTATTGACACTATGGGTATATTAGCTGACAGTGTAAGGAACTTTAAAAAGGTTAGCTATTGAATTTTTAAAAAGAATTTACATTTTTTTAAAATTAAGTACCTATCTAATGGTTTTATATTTGAAATTTGCAAATAATAATTTTGAGGTGTTGTTTTTAGATTTCTTCTTTACAATAAACCCCTTTTAATATTTAATTAATTTTAAAAATCTTAAAATAGTTAAGTTTTACAGTTGAAAATATTTATGCTGGAGTAAAACAAAATAGACATCATAATTGAACAACTGGCTCTTGGAAATAAGCAATACTAAACATTTCAAATATAAAACCATTAGATACCTACTTAATTTAAAAAAACTGTAAATTCTTTTTAAAAATTCAATAGCTAACCTTCTTAAAATTCCTTACTTTTTTCACTCAGCTAATATACCCATACTGTCAATACAAGTACATATAAAAGCTTCGACAAAATTTTATCTACATAGAACAATCATTAGGTATAAATAACCTTATAAATTCTATAATTTAAATAAAACCACAGTATACTCTATCTAATATTTTTACTTGTAGTAGTCTTTCTTATCCAGCTTAAAGTATACCTACATAAAGTTTTGTCAATACAATTACATATAAAGCTTCAACTGAATTTTATCTTCATCGAAAAATCATTATAACTTTTAAGAATTTCAAAAATTACATGTTATGGGAGTATTAAATATATTTACATTGCATGTATCTCTAAAAATTGTTTGTTTCCTTATAATCTAACTTAAATTAGGGATCCCGAGAGGTATGCACAAGTTTTGTTGTTAGGAGTATAAAAGCTTTAATTTAATTTAAACCATATTCAACAATTATTTAGCATATCTATATTTATATGAACATATTAACACACTCTTCCAAATAATCCAAAATACTTATTTATTTTGATCAAAATAGATTTTTCTAACCTAAAAAAAAAATTTAAAATTAGATGATATTTTTTGTTATAATATATTAACCTACCTTTGATACAGATATTCTTATTCCATAATAGAGAAGCTAGATTTTTTTAATAAATGCCGTTTAGTTAAAACTATTTTATGGATAAAACCAGATATAATATATTAACATATTATGTAGACCAAATGCACAAAAATTTTACTTATTTGGCACCATACACTTTAGAATTTCATTAAATGCAGTATTTATACTCCTAAACTCTTAAACCAACTATTGTTACTGTGATACTATAAAGATTTATAAACTTTTAACGCTTAAACATAAACGGTATAACAGTATAAATATTATTTCTTTCATTGACTATACTTTGACAGATACATAACCTGAAAAGCCTTAAATGACAAATTTTCAAAAGACTGCGTTCCGTACGTGGTCACGTGGTGGGACTTTGAAGTGTGGAGCATAGTACCGGGTTCGATCCCACTAGAAGTTGTCAAACTTTTTTTATTTTTTTTATTTTATAAATTTGTTGTTTCTTTGTTAAAAAGTGTTTTATTTTTATCGTAACATAAATTTGCCCATTTTAGTTGGGTTTTTTGCTCAATGGGGCGGGGGGGGGCCAATGGGGCGGGGTCGGTTGGGTTGTGTTGTTGAGTTTGGGTTGGTTTGGTTTTATGACGTAACTAAAGTGCCCTTAACATGTATACAGGTACAATTTATTATTATTATTATTTTATTATAACATAACAAATCTTAAAATTATGACAATCGGGACTGAACTTAAGTCCCGCCTCGGGACGGGAGCCACAGCGTAATTTAAAAGACTGTATAATATGGTATTTAAAAATGTTTTTCTTATCCAGCTTAAAGTGTACCTACATAAAGTTTTATCAATAAAAATAGTTAAAAAGCTTCGACTGAACTTGATCTACATCGAAAAATCATTATAACTTTAAAAAATTTAATAAATCACATGTCATGGGAGTATTAAATATTTTCACATTGCAAGTTTCTCTAAAAATTGTTTGCTTTCTTATAATCTAACTTAAAGTAGGTATGTCGAGAGGTATGCACAAGTTTTGTCATTAGAAGTATAAAAGCTTCAATTTAATTTGAACCATATTCAACAATTATTTAGTATACCTATATTTATTTATGACCATATTAACACACTCTTCCAAATAATCCACTTATTTATTTTGGTCAAAATAGATTTTTCTAACCTTAATATACAAAATTAGATGATATTTTTTGTTCTAATACATTAACCTACTTTTGATACAGATATTCTTATTTCATAATAGAGAAGTTGGATTTTTTTTTATAAATGCTGTTTAGTTAAAACTATTTTATGGAGAAATGTAGACATAATGCACAAAAATATCACTTATATTGCACCTTACACTTTTGAATTTCATTAAATGCAGTATTTATATTCCTAAATTCTTAAACCAACCATTGTTTTTGTGATACTATAAAGATTTATACATTTTTAACGCCTAAACATAATATTATTTCTTTCATTGACTATACTTTGACAGATACATAACCTGAAAAGCCTTAAATGCCAACTTTTCAAAAAAAAAAGCGTTCCGTACGTGGTCACGTGGTTGGACTTTGAGGTGTGGAGCATAGTACAATGAATATGTTTTTCTAGAACAAGCAGACGATATTGCAAGAAACAATATGCCCTGGTGTGATTGGGGGGCGCTTGGACTTTCCCAGATCAGCTTCATTTGCATCGGTGAAACTGGTGTTGTGGTGGGAAGAAGAGTACGTTGCAGCTTACAGAAAGTCTTCTGGATTTCTCCAAAAAACATCGACTGTGAACAACGGCGGTTCAGAATCTGCTGCGGGATGTGGGGGAGTAGTTAAAGCTTCAGATCCCGTCAAATTCGTGTCTCTAATCAGTAAATCTGCCGATCAGTTGTTGGGTTAGTGTTTGATACTTATTTATAAAATAAATCAAACTACATATTTTAGAACACCTTCATGTTTTAACCCAGGAAGCCCTCGATCATGCAGATCTGACCGTATTGACCGGCACAATTGGGGCTGCAGCTTTATTAAAAAACTGCCTGTGGTTTTATATTCAATCCATGTCCGATACAAAAGGCAGTCATGTTGATCAGCTGCAAACTGGCTACAAAAAGTATCACGAGATGTGCGAAGCTTTAGCTGAAAGATTATTGGATCTTCACTGCAGACTTTTGTCCCTGTACATACTGCAAGATGCCGAATGTTTGGATTGGGAGAATGAAAAACCCTTCAGTGAATCGGAAAGGGGCTCTTACGTTATTCAAATGTGGTGGTTATACATGCAAGGTAATTTATTTAATCGATTTAACACAATTGTAGGTTTGCATGATTTTTATACAGAATAAATTCGCATGAAAACATAACCTATTATCTACCTATCACAAAATGTCGCAAACTCAGGAATTTCAATCTAAAAACATTTGCTCATATATACCTTTTGGGCTGATATTAATTATTAAAAGTGGAAAATGTATCTGCAGCCTTTGCTACACGGTGGTCAAAACTAAAGTATAGGACGAACAAAAATGCCAACCAAAACTGATAGCATAATCTGATTATAGACTCTTTTGTTAACACAAAAATGTATTTATCAAAATCCCAGCTGATCCTTTATCAAAGTTTTGCATATTTCTTAGTATTTTAAAATTGTTTATGCCATTTCGATAAAATACTCTAGTACCATTATCAAATGTTTTTAAAAATTTGGCAGATACATGACTGAACTATGGATAAATTACATTATAAATACAAAATAATCTAAAACACAGTTTGCAATATCTTATTTATTGTTTTAAGGTATCTAATACAAAACTAATAAATAACTAAAGATTCTTTGAAGCAAAATCGATTACTGCTTGCCTTAAATTTTCAGTAAAACTTTTTCTTGGGTTTTACATGGAATTGTTTTTAACATTGAAACAGTATTTTTAAATTCTTCAGTCTCTGTACAAACATGCTTCTTACATCTAGCGATATCCCCTAGAAAGGAAGAGCATATCAAAACTTTAGTTCGTTCGTCCGTCCTCTTCCCTTAATAATTTTTTATGCCCTTTATATCTGCCATTTTGCAGATAAAGCACATGCATTCTTGGCTGCCGCGAAATTCCCTAGCAATTTCTAAATTTTGAAAATTTGGCAATTGTGGCTATGGAAAAATACCGTTTTTACCATATTGAAGTAGGTACTTTTGAATCACTAAAGTTAAAGTGTTCGTTTGAAAAAGTATGCAGTAATTTTTATACTTTCTCAGAAACCCTAAACTCTGAATTTTTCGATTACCAAAAACAATTTTTTCTCCACAGCCAGCACATACCTTCTTTCGATTTTCTTCACGGCTTAATTTCGGTTTAATTTTCATTTTAAAATACTATTTTTAACTTTATAAAGTATACATTAAATAAACAACTAAAGCAAAATGTCACGTTATAACGTATAGCAATTTTTTTCATAACCATCTTAAATATCGTTTTACAAAATTTGCAAGTTGTAATTATTTCATAGACAAACTTCCAGTATTTTTTGTTATAAAAAATATTTAAGATATAAATCTTTGTTTTTTTTGTTATGTTTTGTTTTGAGTGGTAAAAAATAATAGGTGACTCAATAAATTAATACTGGGGAGTAAAGTAATTTAAATGATACAAAGTTTATTATTTTGCTTAATTTTATTAAAATTGTACAGGTAGTTTTAGTACAATAATTGCAAAATAATATATAGAAATGGAAAATCAAAAAAGTTTGCAAAACTTAAAAATAGGATCAGCTGGGATTTTGATAAATACATGTTAGTGTTACCAAAAGGGTCTATAATCAAAATATGCTTTCAGTTTTGGTTAGCATTTTTGTTCGTCGTATACTTAAGTTTTGACCACCGTGGCTAGCGAACACTAAGCTCGGCTATAATATAAGTAAAGTTTATGTTTTAAATTTAAAAATCTTTTTTTTAAAGCAAACCCCTTCTATTTGTCTTACTTATATTAAATTTAAGGCACCAAGGATGACCTATGGAATACAGTCCCACCCAAAATGGCTCAAAGGGTGTTTTCTGGAATGTTAAACGAATCATTAACAATTTTGACTGTCAGATATACTCAAGTAAACTCGTAAATTAAATTGAATTAAAAGTTTTGACATTAATTTTTTAGAGTACTCCAACGTACGAAAGAAGTAAACTATTGGTTGTCGACATAAGTAATTTACTTTTATGTATTGCCCAACTTTTGCCAGCCATTTGCGATAGCGCTGAAGAGTTGGTGGGTTTGTCATTAAACCAAAAAAGTAAAATTTTACGAGACGTCCACACCAAATGTCAGCAGTTATTGAACTGCTTTATATTGAGGGGGGCTCCTTTAGACACTTTGTTTAAAGTATTTAGAAATGGAATTGAAAATGTGGATCTCCTAAAGTCCAGAAGCAATGGTCCTCTACCATGGATTGTTTTTGCGTTACCGGGCATTTTTAAAGAGCCCATCAAAAGTATTACGAATATGGGACAATTTTCTTCCGAAATAGCAATTGCTTTGGAGTTGGTAGTCCTATTAGCTCAACCACAACCCAATTGGGCTTTGTTACTGAAGGTGTTAGGAATGAGGAATAGCAAAATTCTAAAGTTGATACTACAGATGTCGCTGAAAATGAATACAGACGACGTACAAAAAATAATACCTAAAACTGAACCATGTGGTTCTTTTCTTTGTCCCAGCGATGGTATTTGCAAGAATGTAGATATATCAACTACCGTTTTAAACTCCTGTCATTACTACGATTTGGCTATGTCTGCTTCAAACGTTCTATTGAGCATTGGAAACAATATAGATTTTGTCGATATATTGCTAGCACCGGTCACCAAACAAGAATACTGGTCCAAGTGTTTTGAGAGAAGACACGTATGAATTTTATGCATTACATTACATTAAATACATTAAAGTAACTCTTATAGGTATGGAATCAGATTCGTCCACCTTGGTATGAAGCCATCCTAAACCTCATATCTCCATTACTACCCACAATCAGCGACATTGTTATAAATGCTGTTAAAACTGAGGCCAGCATGTATCAAGCTATGTCTATTATATTAGCTTGCTTCAGTCAGTTTTGGGAGTGCACAAATCCTGCTTTGACTAAAATCGCCTTTCAAATACAGGATTTGCTTCCTGCTGAGACTGTACCTTTAAATCATTCAGCCATCATACAGATTTTGGTTAGTGCTTTGTATTCTACATTACTGTACAAATCTGAATCCAAAAAAGTTACATTCAAAGAGTCAACCCCAACTGAAGATGAAAATACTGAAACAACAGATGAAACTTTGAATACCGACGAGTCCATAGCTCTTGCGATAGCTGAGAATCTATGCAGTATAGATGAGGATAACAAACATACAGATCAGATTGATGAGTTTTTACAGCAGGTCAAAGACAATCAGGATAATTTTGACTTTGAAAGTGGAGGCTCAGCTAGGGTTGAGGGTACATTACAGATGACGGAAGTGTTGGTCAGCAATTTGTTGCTGACGTCTTATGGCAAGCAAAGTCTGAAGACTTTGCACCATTTTATTAAGAGCAATAACGAATGGGTTTTTCACGAACTTCGCTTAAATACCACAGAGGAAGAGTGCCGTCCTAATAAGGTGAAGCCTACCTCAAAGTCTCTATTACATACTATGTTCCATATAGGAAACAAACCTTTCGATGAGGTAAAAACCACGTAAAGTTTGAAAGCAAATCAACAATTTTTGTTTTAGTTGCTGGTTGGGTTATGGCAGCCTCACTGGTTCAGCTTATTCCAAATGCCATCTGGGTTGAGCGTTGAAAGTGTTTGGTATCAGATGTCACAGAGATGGGAGTTTAGAGATATTAACTCCAGTAAACTATCCACACATGATGTGCAGATTATAACCAAGTTGTCGTCATGTTTTAAATAAATATTTACATATTTTTATATATTTTTATTAAACCCAGCTTATAAATTGAGGCCTGTCATAGCAAAACCGACAATCTCCACTTTTGGTCAAAAATTAGATTTTTGGCGGAGACTGTACTTCAACTAATTATCTATAAGATTATAAAGTTTATGTGCTGCAAAAAGTGCTAAATCCTGCCTAAAATCCTATTTTAAAAATGACATTTAGTGCAAAGACAATCTCCACTGATAGATTTGCAGCAAAGTATACAATCTCCAATTCCACCATTAGAAATTAGTAATTTGTGTCACCTGATATCCTAACATTTGATGTTATAACGTATTTTAGAGATTTAATTTTGTGTTTTTTTACTGGTACATACTGTTAAGTTCTATTGCAGTAAATGGCACTTAAAAATATATTTAAAATGGGTATATATACGTTTTATTGTTTTAAGAGTTATAAAAAAAGTTATCTTGTTAATTTTGTGCTATTATACCATAATAAGACGTAAAGGTAAAGCAAGAAAAGGCTGATAATGTCAAAACATTACAAGTAAAAGTAAAGTGGGAAGAAGATGATGAGTTGTTGTACTATAAAAACTTTTTTGCACGAGGCAACCTGGTCCCAGATTTAGAAGAAACTCCAGATTTATGTGGTCCAGTTCAGAATTTTTCCACATTGATTGTATAGTTAAATTTTATACCCATTAAAGGAATAAAAAAACAATTATTTTTTTGTTTATTTTTTTAAATCTCCTTAAACGTTTACAACAAAATGAGCAATCTCCAGCAATTCATATCAAAGTCAGCAATCTCCAATTTATAATTATAGATTTCACCTATACTATGCATCCTGGAGACCTTGTAGTTGGCTACTAGACTAACAACAACAATATTTCAATATAATGTATAAAAAAAATTACAAATCTTGAATTTAAAATACCAAAATCAATTATCTCAATTTACTTAGTTTAGACTGATGGGAGATTGTTGACTTTGCTCTGACAGGCCTCAATTATAGTAAGTATAATATTTAAGTATAGACTTCTGATCCAGCTGTTGCATAGTAACTTCCAGAAGCACTAAAAAACAATTTAAATGAATTTCTCCAAAAATTTATATTCAAACATACCTTGATGTTACAGTATCTCCAAGATATTGAAGATCGTTACCATCACACTTCCCTTCTTTGTATTCTGCTGAAGAGTTGCACTGTCTTGCTGGGAAGGCAGTTGGGTGATAAATTGCGTATACAGCCACACGCCAACTGTAGTTATGACTACAGAATACTAAAAAAAATATTTTTAATATCACGAACCCTGTTTTTTTGCAATGTCGACTCTTGGCTTTTACCTAAATATTATAACAAAGCTTAATCAAAATTAATTCTCATGACCATTTACGAGATGTGTTTAGAAAATTTCGTTTTTTGAAAAAGTATTTATTTATTTGTCTACATTAAAGTTGTCGCCTTCAAAATAGTCCCCATTAGATATTATGCACTTGTGCCAGCGCTTCTTCTAATCCTCTAAACTCTTCTCAAACACAATCTTTGGGATAGTTTTAGTTCTTTCAGCGATGCGCTTTTAATGTCATCTATGCTTGCAAAACGACGGCCCTTTAAGGTTCTCTTTGTTTTGGGGAATAGAAAAAAGTCAGACGGAGCCATGTCTGGCAAATATGGATGCTTGGGCATCATTACAGTATTGTTTTTGGCAAAAAATCGTATTTAAAATTCAACAATTTTAGAACAAATTTTGCTGCCCCGCGTTTTATACCCAAAATATTCGAAAAAATTTCATGAGATGAGCCAATCGATATACCAACATCATCAGCGACTTCTCTGATGGTTTATAACCATTTCTTCCACTTTTTCCATGTTTTTATCAGTTTTTAATGTGCTTGGGCGTTCGTCATCTTCAAAGTCTTCACGGCCATCTTGTAAACTCTTGTTTTACTTATAGCAGACTCACTATAGGCCTTTGTTAACATTTCACAGAATTTATTTCATTTTTTAAGCAAAATTGGATACAAATTTCTTTGATCCATTTATTTTAACGAACGAAAATCGCCGAGCTCATAAAACACGTCTAACCTTAGCGGCTGCCACAGACAAAGTAAACGATGAAAACAGCTTAAGTTTTTATCATACTGGGGGCATGTATACCAACATAACAAAGAAAATTTTATGACAACCGAACCCATGAAATTTAACAATTCCCGTTATTTTATGAACACACCTCGTACGTCCCGATTGTAAAATTGTTTTATTAATATTTAAAAATTAACTTACGATAGCCCACTACATCAAATGAATTTTCCAGCAAATATTGTACCAAGTGGCAACCGGGTTGGTCATAGGGGTTGGTGTTAATGTAAAAGTCGACGTCACCACAATTTGAGGGGTATCCAAAAAAGCCCTGATTCGAGTGAATCACTATAACCAAGTCTCCATCAGTAGAATCCAGTCTTTCATCAATTGGAAGACCAGTGAATAGCGGACCGGCAGGATCATATGCTACAAAATGTTATAGTATCTAAAATCGTTCGTATAAGGGTAATTCCGTCTTAAATCGTAATTTTGTGGTCACCGTAATTTTGTGAAACAATGAGTTTAATTATATAGTTTTTTATTTGACTTAATAACTCCTTTAAGTGTTTCTTATAAATGCCATTACTAAAATTTTTGCTCATATTTGAAAAAAAAATTACGTTCTATGACCAAAATGTCACATAATTTACCTGTCACCAACAGTTTTATTATACTTTAAAATTAAATTGTACAGACACTATTAAAAAAACAGTATTTTTAAACTAAAAATACAAATTAACAGTGTAGTATTTTCGTTTTAAAAGAGATTTTGACCTTAACATGATTTATTTTATGTATTTTTTTAAGCTTTAGTTTACTCACCCTGTTTTTGGTCCCATAAGTTACTTTCTACATTGCGGTAACATTTTTGGAACTTGGCAACATAGCAGTGAAGCCGGCTCCAGTCAAAGTGTCATATATTTTGTAATTTGTTTATTGGTTATTTTGTTATAACAATTAACTTTAAATACTTAACGTGAGATCTGTGGTTATTGTTAAAATCAGAAGAGTATATTTATTTAGTAGTCACATAAGTTATTACGTAAATCACGCAATTTTAATTATTTTAACATAATCTTAGAATAGGATTGTTATTTAAATGTATGCAATCCGATTTATATCCCACGTTGCCGGCTTGTTTACAAGAAAAACACATAAGTTACTGTCTCATAAGTTATCGCTAAGTGGAGAAAATACAAATACTTCAAGAAAAAGCATTGGACGTAGAAGTGTTCCAAGACAATGGTATTGATCTTTGGATAAACAAGTGGGTTGTGGTTAGATATGATAAGAATTTTATTCCCGGAGTTGTGTGCAGTTTAAATGGTCAAGACTACGAAATTAAAGCACTTAAAAATATTGGCCATTACCGGAAGACAAAATTTGGTATTGTAAAACCAACATACTGTTCAATATTTCACCTCCAATAAAAGAAACCAAAAGGCTCTTGTCTTTAGATGTTAGGGATTGGAATTTATATAAGCAACGAGTGAGAAAGTGCAGTTTATAAATGTATTTAAATTATTTAATAAAATGTTTCAAAAATCTTATGTTGCTAGTTCATTGGTACCTAAATATACGTTATTTATATGAAAAATAAATTATATTTTTGATATAAGTTACCCAGCGTGTCTCATATGTTACAGAGTAGAGTTCTTTTGATTTATACATGTAATTTTTATATTTTTTATTTTAAAATAACACAAAATAGTATATAAGCTGTAAAATAATCTATTACCTATATTTTAGAGTGTAAAACTAAGATTTTTTTAAATAATCTATTTTTGCGTTTTTAGTAACATACGTGACAATCACATAAGTTACTAGTACTCCTTTTTCCTCAAAAAAACAAAAAAAATATGAAAAGTGTACGGCTCGCATTAGTAATTATGACTGTTTATAAAAAATAAATTTAAAAATATTTCCTCTCAAAATTGCGATTTAAGACGGAATTACCCGTAAAAATGGCTTGGATATTGTCACTTACCCACTACTTTTGGAGGTTTACCGCATTGCATGCTTTGTCCGATGATACCGACAGTTTGCCCTCCCAAACTCATTCCAATCAATTCCAGGCTGGAAAGAGGCATCCCTTTCGATACCAACCAACAAACAAATTTTGCGGTGTATTCGCCAAGTGGTACTACATTGTGAGCTGCCGCTATGTAGTTAATGCCAGCAAATAGAACCCTAGCGTCCACCAAAATTAGGTTACAATCTACTGTTGACAAATAGGCTAAAAAGAAAGAAATTCATTGTAGCCTGGGCACTTTAAAATGATTTAGATCGGGTTAGGTTTTTGACAGCATAGGAAGATAAAATTGAAAAACAAAATATACCTTACCTACAACTGATATAACAAAATGTTATGTTTATCAATTCAAAAAATTTGGTATTATTTACATAAATAATTTTTCAAATCTACATATATCATATGTTTTGTTTTGCATTTTCTTAAACATTTAACTACACTCACAGGCAAAATATTCGATCCACACAAATTTTCGATAAATTTCAATCGCAAATAACTTTTTTATTTGATTTCAGATTTAAACAAATATTAAAGAATATTGTAGATACATTAATGGAAAATCGCTCACATTTTAAAAATTACTAAAAAATACACGTACGTTTATAATATACAGGTTTAAACAAAAAGATGTTTTTTGCCATAAGTTTAAGACACTATGTAGAGTGGCAAAACCGTATATTGTTCTAAATTAAGTTTTAATTTTCAAGTCACATCTATTTTTTATCAGTTTTGTTTTTGGTTCACCTTGATATATTTATTTTTGTGGAAAATATGAATTTTTTTAAAAAAACATTGCAATTTCCAATATTTTTCCTGTATGAAGAACTAAGGTTGCTATGGTCCATCCATTGCCTATGGAGGATGACAGTGACAGTTTTGTTGAATCATCCCATACTTGGACATGTCATATACAGCTTTCAAAAGGTATCAAATTGTTTTTTGTAAATTAATGTGTTAATTTTGAGGTGTCTTCTTACTTTTAAAAATGTCTCCGACTGATTTTACCCTTTGTACTTTACTTCTTGTGACGTTTAAAACACTTGCCACGTAATACTGTGACCGTCCATCCTGGATTAAATTAATGGCTCTGGCAACATCAGTCGGAGACATATCCATTTTTTAAAGTAAGAAGACACCTCAAAATTTAAACATTAATTTGCAAAAAACAATTTGATAGCTTTTGAAAGCTTTTGAAAGCCGTGTATGACATGTCCAAGTATGGGATGATTCAACAAAACTGTCAATGTCATTTTCCATAGCCTATGGATGGACCATAGCAACCTTAGTTCTTCATACAGAAAAATATTGGAAATTGCAATGTTTTTTTTAAAAATCCATATTTTCAACAAAAATAAATATATCGAAGTGAACCAAAAACAAAACTGTTAAGAATAGATGTGACTTGATAAATAAAACTTAATTTAGAACAATATACGGTTTTGCCACTCTACAGAGTGTCTTAAACTTATGGTAAAAAACATATGTTTGTTTAAACCTGTATATTACAAACGTACGTCTATTTTTTTAGTATTTTTTTAAAATGTGAGAGATTGTCCATTAAATTATTTACAATATTCGTTTAAATCCGACATCAAATAAAAAAGTTATTTGCGATTGAAATTCATCGAAAATTTGTGTGGATCGATTATTTTGCCTGTGAGTGTATAAAATATATAAAAAGTTACTTTTGTCAAAAAAATATAAACCTATTAGTACGAATTCTTTAATAGTAAACTACGTCCGAAGATTTTGTTGCTATTCAAAATACTTTTATTAAGATCTCACGAGTTTATCGTAAAGAGTCATACCATCTTTAACTCCTTGTGCATCGATGGAAGTATGCATCTGAGTAAATCCGTGTACAAAAATTTTCGTGGGCAAATTAATATCAAATCCAGACGCGGTAAATAAATTGTCGTCATTTATTTTCAGCACTTTTGGGTTTGATGTGTTTGCCCTTAAATAAAAATTTGTATAATTATTTTAACATAAATTATTCTTAACTTACCTTGAGTAATAATAGTACGTAACTTCAAAATCTCTGACGGGTGGGCACAATTGTCTGTCATTTGTAATAACTGAGTAATAACCACTATCAAGTGAATAAGTTGGTGGTGGGGCTAAAAATATTCTTTATATGAACCAATGCTTTCAAAAAAATATTTTTTTAATAAATAATTTTGTATTTACCTGTATTTTCTGCACCCAGTAGGGTACAAATGGCGGCCGATAACACTGTCAACGACATTTTTACTCTATTTAGTTGTTTTTTTTATTTATATAGCTTTTATTACTTATAAATATGTATTGTTATGTTTTTCGGCAATAGATTAAAAAATATCAATAATATTATTTATGTATCGAAATAATATCTGGGTTTAATCTACCTAAGGCCATAAAACGTGTTAAAATATACAGAAAATCAAATTTACTATTTTTTTACATGGATGAATCTCACGAAATGTTCCCCGATAGTGTTACCCCGTGATATTTAATAAAACTAAATGATTTTGACGTACCTACACTTTTATTGTGTTTTGATCTTTTATAATTAAGGAGATATTACAGCTCAGGTTCCAGAATTTTTACCGCAATTAATTATTTTTTACAATGTTTTAAAAGTCTAAAACCTATCCTCCGTGACTGTTACTCTTTCTAGGTTAACCCATATGTTTTCAAATATCTGAGGTAGTAAAAAAATACTAAAAATATCAGTTCACTAAATAAATTAAACACATCCAAAGCAATTCCTAAAGGTCAGTTAGAATTTATATGTAGATGAGAGTGTTGCTGTTTTATAATTCAAAGTTTAAGTTCATTAATTTGCTATTTAAAAACCTATTCACCGTGAAGTGTAATATCTCAGTAAGTAGATTTTATTTATTAATATTTTATGTACCTATGTACAATTGTATTTTTTAAAAATATTAAGTTGTCAATAACTTATTTCAAATATACAAAACGTACGAAATCCTAACCTCCGTGAAGCTATCTTCCGTGAGGCTCTAATATTCAAAATGTAAGTTTTCTTAAAATTCTTGCATTAGTGCAGAACCACTTATGTTATGTTATTACTAGACCTGGTGGCTTCCCAAAAACCCCATTCTATACTAACAGTGAAACAACAAAAAATAAAAATAATCATTTTCACTTGGGGGACATCTCAATATATTTACTCAGATATGTATATCTAGGTACCAGAGACTGTTTGAACATATATATATATATATATATATATATATATATATATAGGCAAAACTTCGTACTTTAATACACGAATTAAAGAACAAAAGAAATATTTATAATATATAAACTTTAACCAGAACTCTTCATATGCTAACCTTATAATACAAGACTACAAATTGAACAAAGTTTAGAATCTAACATGCAGCCAATAAAGGCCCAAAACTAAATCTTCTGGAGTCTCTGGAAATTAATAAATTAAAGAAAAAATCGAATATTGTTCTTAATGTCCAAATTGAAGCCAACAACTCTACTTTGCTAAATTTATTTTAAAATGTATAGCTGTAGTACCTACTAAAAATAATATTTATTAATATTGTAAAACTATATTAGATAGGACTTTCCAAATTCTTAGTTTTTTCAAATACCTGAATTAGCTAATATAAATACCTCCACATAATAAAAATTTGTACTTATTCTGAAGAAGGTACCGTGTAGCGAAAAAATTGTTGATTCTTAAAAAACAAATATAATAAAATTGGTTTTTGTCTTCTATATTTATATATACCTCCATATTTGGCATTTCGTCACATCTACATGCCCCATGGGGCCAGATATGCCAACCAGAAAAACGATCAATAAAATTTATTTTTAAGTATTTATGCAATTTCTAATATAAATATTGTACCTACATTTGTACATTTGTATTCTTTATCAGGAGCATTGGACAAACTATAGTTTATATAGTAGTATATAGTATATATGCTCAAATTCAGACTCGCTTTTTTTGGGAAGTAGCCTTCATTTTGCTTCTTCAAATATGCCCGTAGTTTCATGAATTTGCTGATATCTACTCCATGCTAGATTTTAAGTACTGAGTATTGTCAAATATTTCATTTCATGACGTCTACATAACTGTCTACTCTACCGTAAAGTAGATATTTATAGTTATTGGACAAAAACAAGAGTTCTATAAATAGTCAAATCATTAGATTACGCTGTATACAATTATAACTATCTCAGTCGGTAATAATATAGAACTACTTTATTTTGGGTCCAACATAGGAGAAAAAAGTGGTAAGATTTTTGTTTTTTTGTTAAGAGCAGGGCAGTGTTTAAATTACAGTAAAAAATATTTCTAAAAAGTGTGTAGATCAGTGTGTGGTATAAATGTGTTCCTCATGGTTTAAACATTGTCACTTTAATGCGTTTTAATTTTAATTCTGAAAACAAACAGTAAAATGGCCAGTGCACTGCAGTGTCCAATTACTGGTTGGTAAAACATGTAAATTTCTATTATTGGACATATGTCCAATATCATACTCTATTTGTATCCCGAACATTTACCAGCCAATTCTTATGTAAAATTGTCCCCTAAATCCGAAAAGCAGTTTTTGAGATATAGGCAATTCCATATTATATGTAAAATTGATTATATTTCAAAAACTGTTCTACTTTTATAACTTTTGACGACATTTTCGGATTCAGCGACTAATATTTCATTGACTGCTAAATATCCTGGATACAAATTGCTGTTGACGAGAATTATTAGTGGCTGCTTTTTCGCTATGACATTTTTGACTAATTTATTTTTAGAGAGTAAGTAATGTAGTGATTTCTTCGTCACAGGATATCTTGCAGAATAACAGTGATTTAAATACAGTGCATGATAGAGAACATAAAAAACTAATGGCAACAAAATTAATAAATTCGGAAAATACTTTTAACATACCACCCGAAAAAATATTAGATATATATAAATCATCCTGTTCGGGCCTAAACATTATAAATGCTTCACAAACTAGAGATACCACATTAATAATATTTGCAACAAACTATTTCAGAAGTCAGACCAAGGAATTAGTAGTTACCTTCAGAATCCAGAAAATGGATGAGGAATCCGAGAAAGAAATATATTAATTATATGATATTTACAAAAACAAAATAAAAAAAAAATTCTAAAACAGTAATTTATCTTTAAAAAATATTTAACAATTTATGTTATTTGATGTAAAGTTGTTATGTTTATATAAAAATTGTATGCCCAATAACTATGGTCCATTACTAAATAAAATGTCCAATTTTCAAATCAACAAAAAATTCAGCAGTAAACAACTAATTTTTCTGATTTTTTGTTTTACGATTCGTTTTTTTTCAACATAATTTAAAGCTTGTATGTTTGTACTTTTATGTAATGTTTAGAATTTTTAGTAAAAAACTATTTTTTTAGATTGGGAAACAAACAGCTCATGGTAGGATTAAATCAACATGTCCATTTTTAATTTCTGGAAGTATTTTGATCACGATGGCTTTTTCAGGCCAAGGGGATCTAGAAACAGTTTTTTGCTTTCTTAAAAAATTTCATCAAAGGGATATTTTTGTTTTTTATCTATTTCATTTTTAAATATGATATAATATAACATTTATTCTTAACAATTATTTTTCCGATCGAAATATTTTTAAGTTCTTTTAATGTTTTATACAAAAAAAGTAAAAATAAATTTTTAATGGTGTTCTTTTAAGTCTTTATAAAGAAAAAAAGTTTATTTTCGTTCATTAAAATAATTAAGTTTTAATTTTTTGAAACAAACCCTTGCCTTTTATTTGGTTTTAATGTAGGTACTAAAATAAAATATTTTCTTTCTACACTACGATAGAGTTGAATTTACCCCTAGTAGTTTTTTCTTCGGCTGGCTTTGTAAAAATACTCAGAAATGGCTGGGCAATTTTTTTTACTTTTGTAGCATAAGATCCTTCAAAAATATGAATTGAAAATAAACTAATAAACATTTTTAAAATAAGCCACTTAAATTTAATTAAATAAATTATAGACAATTTGATGACCTTCTTTTATTATAAACATTTAATAATACATACTTTACCATAAAAAATAATATAGTATATCAAGTTATTTAATATATACAGCGTGTACGAAAAATGACGGTTAATTAGCATTGGTATATTGTTAATCTATAAACAGTACTTAATTAAGTATAATTCTATTTCTTAGGTTAATTAGGTAGGTATGTTTTTTAATAAAAATATATTTTATTTTTTTTTAACTGTATAAGTATATATATTTAATATTTAAGAATAAATTTCATTTCCAACAGTGGCGTAGTAGTTTCCGGAGGCACTAAAAGATAAATTAAATATAGTTACATAAAAAAATAAATATTGCAATGTCACTTACGTCGCTTTTACTTTATCTCCTACATATTGCAAATCGTTTTCATTGCAGGTACCTTTATTGTAACTCTGGAAGCTGTCGCATTTTCTAGCTGGAAATGCAGTTGGGTGATATAAGGCATATTTACCCATTCTCCAACTAAAGAAATGACTGCAAAAAACTTAAAAAAAAGTTTTAACTTGTTATTAGTTCGACTGCCTTGAAAATTGATACCTACGTACCTATTTCTGGTATGTTTCCTGGTTTTCTACGAGTGACTTGAGAAATGGAACATCCAGGTTGTCTAAGTGGAGTGTCGTTTATCCAAAAATCGACGTGACCACAGGGTAAGAAATATCCATTTTGAAGCCAGTTCGTGTGAATTACAATCACAAAATCTGCATCCGATTTGTCCAATCTTTTATCTTCCGGATAACCATTAAACAACGGACCGGCTGGATCATAAGCTGAATAATGAAAGAACTATGTCTTAATCTCTTACGAAGTGCAAAGTATTAACACTCACCCAAAATTTTTGGTACTCTTCCACTCTTTACATGGGCTCCAATAATCCCAACAGTTTGTCCACCCAAGCTCATGCCAACCAGTTCCAGACTGGAAATTGGCATTCCCTTTGAAACCAGATAGTCCACAAAAGTGGCAACATATTTTCCAACGGCTTGCACATTGTTTGCTGCTGCTAGGAAATTAATACCGGCGTAAAGAACTTTGGCATCGACCAAAATCATGTTGCAATCTTCATTATCCAAGTACGCTAAAATCAAAGATGTTTGTACAGAAAACTATTGAACCGTTGTTTTAAAAAAAATACAGTGGTTTAGTTGATATTTTATTTACCTTTTTTAGTTTCCTGAGCCTCGTCGGAAGTATAACTTTGAAGAAACCCATGGA